CAAGAAGCTATTAGTAACAAGTGCCACGCTAGTAGGAGCAAGGGCCTCGCTAGTAGTAACAAGAAGCTACTAGTAACAAGTGCCACGCTACTAGGAGCAAGTGCCTCGCTAGTAGTAACATGAGGCCCTGCCAGGTCTTTGGCAACTCAGCCACCAACCCGTTGAGGGCTCGAGGTGTAGATTGGCCACTTCGCCGCCCACCGGCCTAGCACAAGAGTCGCGGTTGTGTCCTCTTGAGAAGATCTGGTCTTGGCATTGCTTAGGTTGTCTGTCTCAGGTCTGTGGCATTGTGCCTCAGGTTTGGATTTTTGGGTCCTCTTTTGTGATCGTGATTCCCAGTATGTATTCATTTGAGATACTCATGGACTGTCCATATGTTCTTGCCCTGGCCGCCAGGGACAGCAAAGGACTAAGATCTTCGCGGAGCCACTGCGTCTACCAGAGCCGATCAAAGGCAAGTTCTGGCAAGTAGTGAAAATAGTCACAAAGAAAACACACACAGAAGTATAAACTGAACTGAAACACACTGAAACGTCAGCACCTCGCATGGTGAATTATGTGTCAGACTTCGCCACTGTCTCTGAAACATGCGAAAGTGCATCGAAACCCTCGGCCTGCATGGAACCTTCCAACTCCAAGACTGGAGCCTGTGATCTCGCTGAGGCATCCAGGGACGCGGTGGCTCCGTGGCGGACGGTTTCGTGTCAAGAGACGAACAGTTGAGAATGTTTCCTGACAATATGTTTCCTAGCTGCCATAGAATCCAACATCTAGCAATGTAACTCGCTACTGCAGCTCTAACGGGTCCTAAGATCCCTGCCAGCTCGAGTCTGACACAGCACATGTTGGGCAGTGAAGCAGATCACCATTTAACGGGTCCTACGATCCCTGCCAGCTCGAGTCTGACACAGCACATGTTGGGCAGTGAAGCAGATCACTATTCTAAGAGATGTTGCGAGACTCTGAGCAGCTTCCTTGGAGACTCCGGTAAGGAACCTTTAAAAAACACACTAGAGATAAGAGTACAAGAGCACGGATGGTCTGAGTGCCGTCCCTGGAGCTGCACAAGAACTGCAAAAAGGTCTACATGAATGAATAATGAATAATGCTCCTAGTAGCGATGCCAGGAGCCCCTAGTAGCTAGTAGTAAGAATGCTCCTAGTAGTGTGCAGTGGGGTCCAAGCATCTGAAAGGCTCTACTGCACGTCTGCGAACGTGGAGCCGAAGCAATGGCCGTTGGGAATGGGACCAAAAGTGAAAGTGTTCTAGTTAGGAACGGTACACGACTGAGCGTCCCCAGTCGCTTCACGGAGTTACCGTACCACAGCTGTCTTCGTTGGCAGAACTGTGGGGCTCCCTCTGCCACGCGCACACACACAAAAATAGACATACACACTGATTTGCCGAACTGGGGGACAACAAAAACAAAAAGTAGCTATATATATATATAAGTAAAATGATTGCAGTTTTGAACATTTAGGGATGGGTCCAAAATGCCAAGCATCATAAGTAATTAGCTTGAACTAACATGCAAACATGAATGGCATGAATCCTCGTTTCATCCTAATGGTTTGGTCTAGAATCTACAGTAGATTGAAAACTTCGCATCAATCATTTCCCACCTTAGATCCTTCTAATCAGCACCTCTTCCTCTCCCCCTGCCCTCAGAACTTCTTCCGTACCCAGTCCTTGGCCTTTGAAGCACCCTTTGGCTTCTCACCCTGAGCCAGAACGATGCCAACACCGGAAGCTAAAAGAATGACGGGATAACCTAAGAGCGATGGCCTCTAACCTAATAGCGATGGCCTCCAACCTAAGAGCGATGGCCTCCAACCTAATAGCGATGGCCTCCAACATAAAGAATGACGGAATAAAGCATATGCAAAGTCACTACGTAGTCAATACATCTTCTTTCAATGTGGCTTTGGGTCTTCAGGATGGTGATCCTTCCTTGCTAGGACACAAAACAAATTGAATCCTGCGGCCTTTTGGTTCTTTTGCACTTGCCGCAGCTTTTGCATGATGATCCGGAGCTGGGCCTGTAACAAAAAGTGCTGATGCAAAGCAGCAACTAGAACTATAGTTATAACTTTTAGATTCATTTTAATTCTATTTATTGTTTCTATTAGCTTCTTGTTACTAGTAGTAAGGCCAGGAGCCCCTAGTAGCGATGCCCTTGTTCCTAGTAGCTTCTTGCTACTTCATAATTGATTAATGAGCTGTCAACTGTTCAAGTTCTTGTTTCCACTGTTATTGTAGCTCCTCTTGACCCGAGGGTCAGACAACTTTCTCTTCGTACATCCTATCTTTGGAAGCCAGTGTCCGCTCCAAATTCACCTGTCATGGGCAACAGCCTAGAAACCACCTCCCCGCTGTCACCAACTATATAGTGAAATGGTGAAGTGGCAAGCACAAAACAAACTAGGGCGTGGGCATTGTCTTTCCGCATTGTTTCCACCACCTTCCGCATTGTTTGCTCGCCAATCCACCAGGTGCACCAATTCCGTCCCCGAGTGTCACTAGAAAACTATGCTTCGCTTCCAAACGCTGCATTGCAAATGTGAAGGTTGTGGGTTGAACACCCTACCAAAGAGAAGATGATAGCGCGAAGAAGAATCCAAAAACCAACAGAAAGGTTGTACCAAAAGGATGAGTTGGTCTTTTCCATACATGGCCCAGATTCCTCTGCTCAGGCGAAACCTCAACATATAGCGCTCCCCCCGTTCTTTTTACTTTAGACAAGCCCCAAGCATATACATTATTACACAACACACCCAAATATGTTACTGGCTGGGGAAGTTGCTAGTCATGGCTGTGCAAGTTGAGGTGGGAACCATCATCAGCTTCTGCATTCTTTCCATGAGCTTTAAATTCTTTTGCCTCAGAAGCTTTTCAGGAGCTCAAACGCATGTCCTACTTACAAAATGCCTGAGGTTCACACTCAAGCCTATCTCGCATCAACTTTTCCTCAGGTCTTCAGCTTGTGATTGGAGCAGTTGGAACTCAGAATCTGTTACGCTCTCCCTTTGAAGAACCTGAGTCCGTCGTTCAATGCGCCTTGTGAAGCTCATAGTGCGAAACAATCAGAGCCTGCAGCAAATCTGTTGCTTTCAGGCCCCCTGAAATGAAAGCTTTCATTGTCCTGCATGACTCCTGATTGTGGACATGCACCAAAGGTGGCAAGCCATCACAAACTGTTCAATTCCTTCGCAAAGTAACGGTACTCCGGTACGCTTTTCTTGCTGAGCCCCAAACACTATCTTTTGCGGCAGCCTCTGTCCGAAGGGCATCAAGGATGCCATCATCGCCTCTGCTCAATATTCCTCTCCACTTCGGAAAGTTAGCATCGCAGCTTGAACAGAGTTATTACACCGGTGCCGACAATCATTGCTCCGAGAATATCAAAGGACAGGGACTGCAAAATCCAAAAAGTTCTGGCACTAGAGAGCAGGGAACAGGGACCAAAATGGACCAAACAAAAATAAGAGCTGAGGGCGATGAGGTGTGAAATTGAACATACAGTATCATACATAAATACAACAAACATCAAGACATTGGGTGACACCGTCTAAGCATCGATTAAGGATTCGACTCTCTTTGGCACCAGGATTCTGCCTGAAGAGGTGGCCGCGCAATGCGGCGCAGGCAGAAGCCCCTAGTAGCGTCCATGCTCCTAGTAGCGATGCCAGGAGCCCCTAGTAGCTTCTTGTTCCTAGTAGTAAGGCCAGGAGCCCCTAGTAGCGTCCTGGGCGCGCAGGTTGTGGGCGCACACGGATTGTGCGAGTCAGGCCGAGTCGAAAAGCTGAGCATTCTGCTGTTGCATCTGACGATGGTGATTGAGGTCAACCTGGGGAGATCAGCACAAAGAAACATTATAATATATATATATATTAATTTGGTATGACATTAAATGCTTGATTTGTCTTGATATAGTCTTGAATGGGGTTTTGGACTGTAGTTCTAGGACCCTTTCAGCCAGGATGATCCATGCCAGCTTGTTTCATCCACAGCATACCACGCGGTGCGTGATTTGAAGGGGGCCTCTTGGTGCTTCAGCAGCTGGTCCTTTTCCTCCAAATGCTGACGAGCCTTAGCATAGCCCGGAGCCGCCTCCACTCTGGAACGAAGGTAGATGCACTGTTCCAAGGAAGCCCTGCAAGTCTAATTGACCAGGTCTAAGCTTGTTGCCTCAGAGATTTCCTGCTGTAAAGACTTCATGTCTTTCATCATCATCTGCTTCTCCTCAGAGCAATGGAAGATTGCCACTCGGCAAGGCTACAGCTTTCAACGCTGCGTATTGATCAATCGGAGCGGGGAATTATTGAATAGGTATAAATAGTATTATATAAACAATATTAAATAGTAAGAATCAATAAGAATCATGCTGGGCCAAATCTTGATAGATGCTGGCCGCAACTATGACCCTTTTCCCCATTGAAAGTATGGAATATCCCGCATGTCTCCCCCGAACAGAAAAGGATAATGCCCTCCATATCTTCTTTCTCAAAGCCATCCAGCAACCAAACAGACTCAAGGGGCCCTTGTGGGGAAGCTGGCTACTGCGTGGTAATGGCTTGGCACATCGTCCTCCAATAGCTGGTCCACTTTCTGCTGGTGGTACTCGAGGTCCAGCCTTGCTCGGCATTGGATAGCTCTGGACCAGACACAGGTAGAGTGAAGGCGTTGGTATTCATTTGCAGTCATTTCAGCCAACTGGTTTCTGTTCTTCTCTGCTTGTAAAGTCCCACCAAGGTGACCGCTGTAGGTGCCGAATATCACTGACCAGATCAGCAATCTGCCCAGCTTGCTTGGTGTCTTAGTTCGTCAAAGCCACCCAGCGCATTGTTCTTAAACAAACAGAAACGTGGCTGCGGATCAAAACTGCAGTACAAGTACCCTCTTACTCTTACGGCACGGGATTGGTGATGTGATTGTAATGACCTACTCATACTCTAACGGAAGTGTCAGCCTTAGACCCACCTCCAAAGGACAAAGCTAGGGTCTTTGCGGGTATGAATCTAGCATGACTTCACTACCCTCACTGCTACATGTGGTGTTCCACTACAACTCAAAATCTGCTCCAAGTGCCATACTCTCCGCTTGAGCTGCCGAAGTGGCTGCCTCCGCTGCTGCCAACTTCTCTGCCTGGCAAGGATGCTTCCATCTGCAGTCTCAGATATTGATATTGTCTCAGGTTGCTGGGGTTCCAAAACAGGCTGACAAGAGTGCGCCTCTTGAAAAGTGTCCGGGTTCATAACTGTTTCTCCAGTCTACCATACTTGACAAGTGAAGCCCAATACTGCATCAAGTACTGCATGCCACGTCCACAGTTCCGTATTAAGTTGGAAGTTCAAACGTTCCATGCCTCCAGTATCCTCCAGTCCTTCTGGTCAGTGCTTGTTTTACGAAGTGCGCAGGAGTATTCCCATGATTGTCAATTGTGCCGGCGTCACGTTGCCGCCACCATCAGCCTCAGCCTAGTGAGGCTCAAACTTTGAAGCATCAAAAATACACAACATCGAATCTGAGTCCTCAAAAAACTCTTGTAAGATCTTGTAAGGGCTTCTATAGTTCCAGAAAGAAGAGATAGCTTGCAAACATATATACTCAGTGGATCTCAGTGTCACTCCACTCAGTTGCGAGCCTCCAACTGCTCTTTCTCGGCTCTGATGCTGGCAGCCTGGCATGGCTGAAAGCTCGCGCAAACGACCATGAAGGACGCCACACACCACACAGTCCGAACATGTCCGAACGTCGCGACCGTCAAAAAGAAGTCTTCTTCCAACAAGTCAGGAAAGCGCATGCCGAAGAATACGGAACAGCAACAACAACGACTGCCACTATGATCAGATAGAGAAGAAAGTATATAGGGAGAATGACCAGGAGAACAAAAAAGGATCAACAACCTTACCAAACATCGCGATCTGTGCACGATCTAGTATGCAAGACTCCAATTTGCTTCAAAAGAACAAACCTTTTTAATTACATCGTTTTTTCCAATCTTTCGACACAATGAGCCTCTGTCCGGGCCATGGTGAGCTCGGTGTAGAGGTGTGCGAGCCTCAAGCAATGCGAAACATAGCCCTTCCACAAAAACAGTTGCGCTAGTAGCTATCTGAGGGCTATAGACGGAGATTAAGCGGAGTACTGAGTGTTCAGTACCGAGATCTGCTGATATGCAGCTCCCAGCAATGGAGTTTCCTTCGATTCTCAAAAATATCACGGCTGTCAAAACAATGGAATGCAAAAGCTTGAGTCCTCTGAAGCTGTCGCAGAGAAGCCTAGGTTAAGCGGGCTAGGAATCACATCATGGAAGAGACAAGCATAAGAAAGTACAGCACAGATTTGTGTTGGAAGGGTGGAGGAGATCCTTTGTCGTACTGATACCGCAAAGAGCGAGATAGAATGAGATACAGTACCGCATTTGAGGTTGAGCAATACTCAGCAAAACCCATATCACTGCTTGACTATGCAACTGGCTCATTTGCTCGCCATCACCAGGCACCACAGTACTCGCCTCGAAAAGCATCAGCGGACATCAGTAATCAAGTTCCTATGCTTCTGTTGTTGTCAAAGTGATTTGCCTAGATGAGATGGATGCTCTTGTCAGTGCCCAATCGTTTTGGTTCACTATTCAATCTCTTGCGTCCTGCAACTGGGGCCTGGTAGAGATTAAGAGCTTGGGGGCAATTCGCCCTCGGCTCTGCTCCTAGAAACTCATCCTCTGTCTTTGGCAACTGCTGCGTCTGCAAATGCTTGCCTTAGATGACTGACTTATTGACTGTGTCTCGCAGCGGGATCCTGAGCAGCATTGAATAGGTGCGAGTTCTGTCACCTGGAGGGCTAATTGGCAGCATGCCAGCAGTCGAAGATTTCATCCTCATCATCAATAACAAATAATCTCCTTTCACATCATCACATCCGACGATCTTGCTCTAATACTACTGCGACAACCTGCGACAAGTGTACACAAAGCAGTTGCCTTCCGCCACCTCAACTTCACAGTTGAATTTGCTGCGGAGGTGTCGCATTCTTGCATGCGGCGGAGAAAACGAGAAGACCAGGAGCACTCCTGATGGCTTGAGAACTCGGGCAACTTCAGCAATGTACTTGTCCGCATCAGCATCTCGGCCACAGTCACAAATTGAATCCAAGGTGGATTTATCTATGGCACAATCGAAAAAAGAATCCTCAAATCGATGAGCAGAGTCAGAGCCGGAGCTCATGTCGCGCAAATCAGCTTTCACCCAACGCAGCTGTGGCCGCAGCTGTTCGTTTCGTTGCCTCATGACCTCCAAACACACCTCTGACACGTCAACGTTCCAGATTTCCCCAAAGTCTCCTGAATCAAACATCTCTTCAGCCAAACGACTTGTGCCACATCCAAGGTGCACCACGCGGCCTTTCCCAGCAGCTGGTTGAATCCAAGGTTTCAAGGATATGAAACTTCCCAGCCAGTCGTAGGGCTGCTGGTACCAGCTATCCTGGTAACGGCTCAGCCAATACTGCACATCGCCATAGTCCACGTCTTCCGCTTCGTCTGTCAACCACTTGCAAAGAAGCGCAGTGCAACATGTACCCGACAATACGACGAAAGTTGTTCTTATCCATTCTGCCCTGGTTGTCATGGTGGAGCCAGCATGAGAAGCAAGAAACCGCCTGCTTACTGGCTGCTCGGTCGACGTGACTGCAGCCCGAGAGCGGCTATTTCTGTTGCCAAAACGGCGACAAATCCTTGCCCACATTGCTGAGAGTCCACAGGAAACAATAGTCTCTGAAGGTTTCTTACAGTACTTCCTTGACTTGGTGTATCCATGTGTATCCCCACTCTTTCCAGAGTTCACCAAGGAGCCAAATGGAGCCAATGGCTGCATTTGCGAGCTGTGCACTCCCGACTAGTCCGACTAACATCCTATTGTCCAGCATGCTCCACCATGTTCTGGCCTGACGAAGGGAAAGCTCGTGCTGCAGACCTGTGGGAAAAGGCGAAGAAGCACGTAGTAACGTAGTAAAGGCCTCTGATACTAGGTTGTAACCCCAAAAAGCGAGGACAAACTGCAAAGAGTATCCAGCTCACAAAACAATGTAACAATCCCTGTGTCTTCTCTGCACCTGAGACTTCTGTCTCCAGCTCTGAGACCTGACAAAACGGCACTGGAGCTAATCCGCATCTCAAAAGCTCAATCAGTTCAACCGATACACCAAAGGGATTTAACACATTTCAACACCATTTGGTGCAATGAATACAACTGCAGTCACTATGTCCAAGCTCACAAGCTCACAATTCTTGCTTGCCTTTGCACGTAGCATCACCACATCGCTGTCACCATCTCCCCTGAGCACCCAGCACTAACTCTCTTTACCTAATTACTATGGCGAGGCTACAAACAATATAGTAAGAATGCATGTAAGAATGCTCCTAGTAGCGATGCCAGGAGCCCCTAGTAGCGTCCTCGCTCCTAGTAGTAAGGCCAGGAGCGCCTAGTAGCTTCTTGTTCCGAATAGCTTCTTGTTATTCAATATTATATAATTCACGTTCAATCCGAGCAATGATTCAACGGCAACATGTCAGATCTCCCACATCTCCCACTCTTTTTTGATCTTTTTTGCTGTTCCTCAGTCGTGACTCTTGCCAGATGCATGATCTCCAGCTGCAGCGTCTCGATCTTCATGGTGCATTTCCAGAGTGCAGCGTTCATTCCCAGATTCCCTGGTGCGGCAGGTGACCCCGCGTTTTTCCCCTCAATCCACGTGGAGTTTTCACTGCGCGTCCGAGAGGGTGCGCTGCGTTGATCACCTCGAGCTCACATCGATTGTATCTTTGCCTCGAAGCTGAGGGATCTTCTGACTGTCCCACAAGGTGAGAAATCTTAGTCAAACGTCGTGAGTCTTCTGTCTTCCTCAGACAATGGTGATACACTGTTTGACCGTTTTAGCATTCAGCCAGGCTACTATCTTGTCCGCATTCGTGATGCCATTGTCTTGTTCGTACTTGGTGATTTCCTCAATCACAAAAGCAACCCGTTCCAGTCGCACGAGCCGTTGTCTCGTCGACTTTCGGCAGCGAGGTGTCCTGCAGGATCTCTTCTGCGAGAGGCTTGCGGGATCCATACATCAGCCTGAACACGCAGGTACTAAAGCATACTGAAAAAATGGGAATTGATGTGTTGGAATTGTATCATGCCTTCACCTACAGCCAGAGATACTAGCCTCACCACTTCGCCGTCCAAGCTTTCAATGTATACATCCCATGGATGCGGATATGCACCTCAAGTGCGTCAATTGGGCGGCATCAAGATCGCAAACAGACTCGCTTGCTGTTCCAGGCACGGAAAATGATGACTGGCCAGTCGCTCAAGAGCCTTAGGCTTCGTCGATCTTGCGGATTTGATTGCTGGCATAGTTAAACGATGGTAAACGGCAGGTGCACTGTGCGTTTCACTCCATCGTGTCGCACATCCCCAATTAGGTGAGTTAGACCTATAGACTATTATAGGACTCCACTAGAACTTTGCGCCCAGCGTTCTCTTGCTTGAAGGGTATCGCTTTGGCCAAGCGACAAAAGCCGAAGATAATAAGTTTCTTCGCTAAATTCTTCACAGAACCTCAGGCGATCTATGCATCAAGGGCTGACAAGTTTTTGTGTCTTTGTACTGTACTGTATACGATGGACGGATGACAGAAGGCCAGTCTTTCTAAATTGTGCTTCCAGGTTTGGAAGAGTTCTGCAACTCAGCAGCTTCCCCAGCACCTCAACATCCTTTCCGAAATTTCCGCCAGATGTCATCTCCTGTCCTCTATTCTCCAGCCTGAAACAGCTTGTCTGCAAATGATGTACTCTGCACACGTTTGCAGCGTCACTCGGCTGAAAAGACCCTGGGCCCTGGTCCACCTGAAAGTTGTGGCTGCATCTTCTGAATTGAGCATCACAACGAGGCGGCTCTTCATGCCGCTCATGAAGGCTTTGGCATCTTGTAAAACGAACTTGCGACCTCCCAACAAGACCACAGCAGCGTCCTCAAGTTCTGTGAAGTTCTGTGGATAATTGTGGAGATGTGTCAGATGTGTATAGGTCCAGACTAAGCACGTGGTGTTAAGGGTTAACCAGCAAATCATGATAGGTTGACATTTGTGTGTCAACCAGGTCAGTGGATTTTGACCCACTTGAGAGCTGCATGTGGACGCTGGAAGCGGACCCAGACATTCGTTCAGCTCAGTCCTCTTTAGGGTCTTCAGTTTCTCGGTAGAGCAAGGTTCCAACATCTCCGGACGTGGTCCCAACATCATCAAATCGAGAGATTCGCCTTGCGCAGAAGACATGTTTTTTCCCATCAAGAGATTCGCCTCCGATCAAGACTTGCACCATTTCCACACATTGAAGCAAACTTAAGAGGCCAGGCACACGTCTCGCAGGGCAGCACCAGCAGGACTTTGAAGCGCTTGTGTAAAGGCCTAAGTAAATCGCTCAAAAGCGTTGCCGTCAATTCGGTTGACCAGGCCCTCATCGCTAGTAGGTTGGAGGCCATCGCTAGTAGGTTGGAGGCCACCGCTAGTAGGGCCATCGCAATTAGGTTGGAGGCCATCGCAGTAGGTTGGAGGCCTTAGTAGCAAGAAGCTAGTAGGTTGGAGGCCATTCTTACTAGGTTGGAGGCCATGAATGTACAGTATATCCAATGCAAATATGTTCGGGTCAGGCGCTCGGGTGCTCTGTTCAGGTTGCCCCCAAGTCCCCGCCGCGCCAGTTTAAGTATTCTTCACGTTGTGGCAGGGGGTTCACAATATGATTCAAGGTACAAGGCCGCCGAGTGTTCATTGCTCACAACAAACTTAGATCTTAGTGTTTCATGTGAAAAGCGAAAAAGGGCAGCTGAGCAGCCAAGAAGCCTTCGCCATTGGCAAAGCAGCACTCAGCAGTGCTTCCATTCCAGATTCTATGACCCGATTGGGTGGACAAACTATGTCGAGTCTCCTCGGTTGTGGATTGACCACTCCACGCTCTTACGGATTAGCTTACTACGCCACCTTCATCCACAATTCCATTGTACCAGCTTTCCGTTCAGTCTAAATACGTCTAAATGAGGGGACCCATGGAGAACGCGACGCCGCTGTGACCCCCGGCAGTGGTCAAATTGTCCCCACCGCCCGTCGCTTCGTCCCAGCATCAGTTGCACCGATTGCCGCGAGAGGCCATCCGCATATGCCTTCATGACCGACTCTGCTGCTTGAAGCACCATGCCCTTGGCCTCACGGCAAGGTCCAAGACATCTTTGGAGAGAGTCTCTGCAGAGTGTTCGATTGTGTTCCCAAGTCAAACAGAGATTCATGAACCGATGGACAAGTTCTGTCAAAGTCTACTTCTGTTCCCAAGTTCCGACGGACTCTCTGTTCCCAAGTCTACTTCTGATCATGTTCCATGAAGATGCACAAGAACCGAACAGGGATTCATCCCACGGACGAGGGGGAGGGACCGAGGGGGGCTGGCCCCACATGATGATGTGAAACCTTTGCTATATAATCATTACTCAAACCACCCAAATCAAAAGTTAACGGATCCTGTCCCAACACATGTTTGCTTTAAAGCAAAGCAAACTCAGGTTGCTGAGACAACCTTTCGTAATTTTGGATAGGAAGTGTCAGGGTCATCCTCATCCGATGCCAACATGATCAAACGGGGCACTGAGTCAGGCGGAGCTGGCTTCTCTTGGCTGCGTCGAGCGATGCGAGATGACACATGCCAGGGCCGCCAAGAGGCCTAGGCGGAACAACTGATTCGACCCATGGGGTGAACGATGCGTCTTAAATCTCTGGGGATCCTCCAAAACAGTTGAGTAACGTAATTAGAACTACGGAAAATGAAAAGGCTCCCCATGTTGAAGAGAAAAGCCCCAAAAATGCCTATGGTGTCTATGGCACCTATGACAGTGGAACCGTGGAAAACTGAGCTGCTCACCCTTGCTTGCATTCCACACCACGGCGGGCTGAAATTAGGGGCATGTCCTCAGCTTGCCGACATGCCCCCTAAACTCCACGTTGAAAGACAGTATGACTCTCAGTTGCTTTTGACAAGCAACCAGCTAGCAGCAGTGCTAGGAGCAAGAGCTGCACTCGAGCAGCCGTCATGAAGGATTCAAGAATGCTGAAAAGAGATGCAAATGACACTGGAGTCAGAGACAATAGCACATTCTATGGCCCGATCGAATAGTTCTGTACATTGGCAAGACATGGATTTCAAGCAATCAGTATCAACTAGTCATGCTTTTGAAGTCTAGCATATTTGGTTCTGAAAATCCTACCTCTAGAGCCAAGCAGCAAAAGGGAAAACTTTCAAGACTCCATGTGTGTGAGTAGCGTCCTTGCTCCTAGTAACTAGTAGTAAGGCCAGGAGCCCCTAGTAGCGTCCTTGCTCCTAGTAGCGATGCCCTTTGCTCCTAGTAGCGATGCCCTTTGTTCCTAGTAGCGATGAAAACAAGTCAAAAATGATGTCTGAAGAGCGAGCTTGGAATGCCCCAAGCGTCCATTGGCTTCCTCTGCGTGTGGCTGTTCGATGGACACAAATGTGATCAGGTGCTATCTACTGATCAAACACGCTGAAGTGTCCAGTGCCAGAGGGGAAATCATTGGTTGTGCCTAAGGATTCATACAATGCTCCCATGTATTCCCATGTATGTTTGCATCAAAAACTCAAGGTCTTTTGAATCCAGCAACAAGCTCAGCTCGACTATCCGCGTCCTCAAGCTGTTGGTTTAACGTCTTTACTTGTTGCCGGAGCTCCTGGCACCAAAGATTTCCGCACCAATCTCCACTAATCTCCCCATGTTCAATTTCAGTATGGTGTTTGGGATGTCGTTTGGCCCCCAGCTGCTCAGGTCTTCTTGATTAGCACATCAGCCAGCCTCCGAAGCACTTTGCGCCTGCTTTAGGCGACTATGAAGCTCCTCCTCCTGGTAGTGAAAAATTGGTGATGCGGAAGGTGTGGGATTGTCAAATACTAAATACTGGAAACTCTACAATGTTCCATCATTTTCCTATATATAATATGTGTCCTCTAAAATATGAAGTGCATCTTATAAACTATGCGCTGCTTATACAAATGTGCTCAGTGTTTGTGAGCCATCCCATCTTGCTTTGATTCAGAACCAACGGTCGCACGACCTTCAGAGCAGCGAGCTCCATCTCACCCTGTGGGCAGGAAAGGAAAGAAGTGAAAGCAAAGTCAGGACCATGTTTCATGCTCAGGAAACCATAACTTGTCCAAAGGGGTGATAAATGAATATGCTGGACGCTTAATACCGTATAGCAGGCCCGTCAGTAGTGAGTAGGTCTGCCGTACAAGTCATTGAAGTAATGATAGCTCTGAAAAGCAAGGCAGTGAGTGCAATCAACTCCCGTGGCGCTGGCCATGAACCCTTGACTGGAAGATGGCCTTGGCGGTCTCTAAGTCAGCCTCCAGCTTCGTGGCTTGCTCCTTCACAAACTTCACTCAACCCGGGACTCAACCCAACGTGCCCGTTGAGGGTGAGAAATCGCCTACCAGTTGGCCAATTTACGGGGTTTCGTTCCTGTACAGTGTACTTATGCTTTGCAGTGTATTTCTTTCCTGTACATTGGAATGGCTCTTGCTTTTTGCCCTTTGGAAATTGCCCGGCACACTCCCTGAACACTCCCGGCACCTTGAGCGCAACATTTGCCTGGGCCATTTGTGGCCAGACAAAGGTTGCGATCAGCAAAGAGCAGCAGCTTGAAGAACACAAAAGTTATGAGAATTAGCTCAAGTGACTCTGGTGTCTACGCTGTTGTAGGAGCACTAGTCATGACATCCCAATTGGTACGCCTATATCAGTGTCTATTAAAGTAGGGAGACCTCCCAACACCCTCTGGAAGAAGGAAAATGGGTATACCGTATCCCCTATTAAAATACAAACCCATGTACATGCAGTATATTAAAGGATGGGGAAATTAACCTCAAGATAGGTTATTGAACAAAGCATGCACAGGCGCTGCTTCGCCATGGCCGTCATGGTGCTGAGGTGAGCACAGGTGACTCTCGTATGACAGTCTGGAAAATGACATCAGTCACATCGTGACTCAGCTCCTTCGGAAAGTCGTGCGACATGTGTTGGCTACTATTGCTTCCAGGCGTAGCTACTACAGTACTGCTAACAGCGGCAACGTCCGGAACCAAATGATTAGTGCGAGCGCTTCTTCAAGGAAGCTCCCCCCGGTGTCAGGTGGGGGCAGCTTTCTTGAAGAAGCGTGAGCTATCCTGCATTCTAGGTGATAGCTTACTTAAGCTACTAGCTACCTCTCCCTTACTTAATTAAGTAGGCGCCTACTTAATTAAGTAGGGAGGGGGGAGCGGGCTAACAAAGAAACGCATCTTTCGGTGAGGAATCACACTTGCCTCAAAATGACTCAATCGACTGTGACGCCGCTTCTCAACACGGTCGGCTTCCCGCTAGCAACGTCAGCTCCTCTGCATTCCGGTCCACTGCCACAGTTTGGTCCGCTTGATCAGGATGAAATGTTCTGATGCCTTCAACTTCAAGCACTTATCGCACTTGCACAATGAGTTGCAGGACTTGTAAGAGTGCGCGCAATCATGTTTCTTATAGCTTCAAGTGAAATCTAAGGAAAAAAATTGCACTTTGTTTGATAGCCAGCAACAGCCAGTGGTTGTGTGGCAAGCTTTCTGCACCAAAGTTGAGGGCCACACCAAGTGACTCCTGCTCTGACGATGGAGTGTCAACAACTGGCACGGTGCAGAATCGCTGGAACAGTCACCAAGTCAACCCTGCAATCGATGTACCATGACTTGGTGGACCATGCCTCTAGCAGTGCCACTGGATGGCGGGTCCATGTCACAGCCGCGTCTTTGCAGCCCTGAAAAAGTGAACCATGCCGATGGCCAAGCTGACGGAATGTCAACTGCTGCAAATGTTCCACCGTTGGATCAAAGAGCTAAGAGCCACACGTAACTATTCCCACCCACTACTTGACATGCTCGGAAGCCACTGGAACTGGAACCAACTGCGGAAACAGCAGGGTATTGACGGTTGCAACAAAGAAAGAAACTGAACCTGCCATGGGTGGATAAATAAAGGTTTCAAATGCGAGCTCATGACATTGGCTCAACCACGTTGGCCGCAAACCACTGACTTCTTTGGCCACAAGATGAGTCGAAGGGGTTTCTCCATGCACCTACTGGAACTGCATGGCAGGCACCCTGTCTAATCCATCTTTCGCTCGGTTTGTTGATTCAAGATGATTCGGTCGAACGGATTCAATGGCTGTTCATGGTTCAGCAAACCGCTGAGCTCTTAAAGCTCACGACTTCACAGGGTCCCACGAGGTCCTGGGGCAGACCTGATCAGCATCCGCGCCCTGCACACTTGGCCGGAAAATGTGGCCTCTCTTGTGGAACCACAATTCTGCGCGATTGCGCAGCAAAAGTCCACTGAGGACCAGGGCTCCACCCAAGCACAAACACAACAATGTTGCGGTGAAGTGCGAGGATTGACCATGAGGTCAAACAGGCCATTAAGCCAAACAGAGCAAGATCCCCAGACAACTGGCGCACTGCCATCACAACCTCGGCGTTTCAACCACAGTGAAAACTTCTGTTCTACCTGCACTCCTGGCTCCCACAAATCTCTGAACACCTGAACACCCATCAAAAAACACTCACGCTGCACCCGGCATTCGCACAATTCTGCAGCTCACGGCTTTGAGTCGCTGTGATCGTTCAGAGTGTCTCCGTTTCTCAGGGAGAGAACCCAATTGAAGATAAAGTCTCATCAGGTGGCCTCAGCTGTCACCAGGTTACGGGATGTTACAGGTTGCTTGTGTCAACTAGAATCAGGAGCTTCCAACAAATCCAACAAATGCAAATCCCTGGGGTGGACCAAGTATACTATTACTAAATTATGCATTATGCACGGCTAACTCACACACAGGTTCTCGGTCAAGAGTGACAGAGAACAACAAAATCTGATTGACAAACTTGTGCTCAACTGCTCAACAGCTGGTGTTCCCCCATCCCCATGCATCCATATCCTTTTGGTTGCCCCTTCTCAGCCGAAAATTGCTGACTCATTGAGAAGATCAAAGTCTGCAAGTCTCTGCAGAGTGACTGCAACCGTGCATTATCACGGCCAGCTTGCGCAACAAGTTTGCGCAGTGGCAACCTGCAAACCTAAAATATCATTCCTCCACCTGGCAAAGTTCATTCCATTGCCCCACCAGCGCCTCTTTGAAAGTTGGCAGCTGTCTGTACCAGAGCTGACTGCCAGCATGCAACCTGCCTTGGACCAAGCCAACCTCCAAGCCTCGTCATTGACGCTCCAGGAAGCCAGGGCATTCCACGTCTGTCCTTCCATTTCCTGCGACCAGATATGGATCAGCCCATCCTCAAAGCAAGCTGCCACCGAACTCGAAGGGATCCCCAGATATGGCCGCCAGGACACATCTCGCACCACCGGGCCCGGACCTTCCACCAGCTCTTGTTGCACGCTCCAAGTTGGCTGCGCGCCGAATGCGCACGGAGCGACGGGCTGCGGGGACCATCCGTCGAGGTGCCTTGGAGGCGGAGCGCGCAGCAGGACCTGCCGCCAGGGTGGCTGGACTGGCCGCGGGCGCCCAACAGAGCGCCACCGAGTGCCCCTATGAACAAAGAAAGAAATCTCTTTACCTTCACTGCCGCCCGCCGCCAAGATCAGGCCATATTCCGCAGGCCAGAGCCACAACTGGCCCACTCACAGTGAGGTGATGAAGCACACACCACCTCAACTCAACAAGCGAAATACGAATGCAGCTCACCGTTTTTGCGTTCAAACCATGATGGGTGCATTGCAGCGCTTAGCCCTTGACTGGTCACTTGGTTCTTCCCGCCAAATAGCTATCCGGCCATCTGCAGCGCCACTTGCCAAACGCACCTGAAATTATGGAAGTTGGCACGCGCGTTCTAAGAAGTGTCATGTTCTTCTGCATCCTGTTCCGGACACTGCGCAGTGATTTATACTTGCAGGCTAACAGGGGGGGCTCGGGAGACCACACCATGCATGTAGGCTAAGACTACGCGTCTTTTAAATGTTTCAACCAACAAATATACAAGCATAGACCCCAAACAGCTTCAAAACGATTCGTTTAGACCAATATTAGTCAAAAATCGATTGCGTGGTTCGCCCTACTTTCACCCCCAGAGCAAACTGCTTCATCAATGAATTTTTGTCGGCATTGACAGCGCTATTTCTTCGGCCACACTCCTCTCCAGCAAGCCGGGCCACAGAGACCAGCCACAGAGTTCAGGGGCGCGGCCAAGACAAGGACAAGAGGAGGACAAGACCCGGACACAGAGCCCGGCCACAGAGCCCAGCCACAGAGTTCAGGGGCGCGGCCAAGACAAGGACAAGAGGAGGACAAGAAGAGGACAAGGCCCAGCCACAGAGCCCAGCACAGAGGACAAGAGGAGGACAAGAGCCCAGTAAGCCGTCAAAAGCACGCGCGCGCCCTGCTCTCTCTCTCTCTCTCTCTCTCTCTCTCTCTCTCTCTCTCTCTCGCGCTCGCTCGCTCGCTCATTCTCTTTAGGTGTTTCTTTCTCTGTCTTTCTCTCTGCGCAGCGCCCTCTGGCCGCGCCTTTCTGGAGCGTGAGCGCGCCACCCATAGCACACGAGCGCGCGCACGCGCGCGCGCGCCCTCCTCTCTTTGTTTGTTTGTTTGTTTCTTTCTTTCTTTCTTTCTTTCTTTCTTTCTGTCTCTCTCTCTCTCTCTACGTTTCTCTTTCTCTGTCTTTCTCTCTGCAGAGCGCGCCCTGAGCGCGCCTTTCTGGAGCGTATTTCAGAGAGCGCGCGAGCGCGCCGTGCATAGCACACGAGCGCGCGCACGCCCTGCTCTCTCTCTCTCTCTCTCTGTCTGTCTGTCTGTCTGTCTGTCTGTCTGTCTTTCTGTCTCTCTCTCTCTCTCTCTCTTTTAGTTTCTCTTTCTCTGTCTTTCTCTCTGTAGAGCGCGCCTTTCTCGAGCGTATGTCAGAGCGTGCGCCACAGGGCCCAGCCACAGAGTTGAAAGAGTTCAGGGGCGCGGCCACAGGAGGACAAGAGGAGGAGACAGAGTTGACAGAGTTCAGGGGCGCGGCCAAGAGGAGGACAAGAGGAGGACAACGAGGACAAGAGGAGGACAAGGCCTGGATCATATGATTATCCACCCGCCAGATTCGGACAACCTCAGTTGTGAGTTCTTGCTCTTGGGCGTCTCTCAGGGTTTTATTTACAAAGCAAACAAACACCCGTTAAATAGGAGCACTATTACGGGGGGCCCTTTGAAACATGAAGCCTGTCTCCCCACTGTTTACATCTGTACCATCAACAGCTCACGCAAGATTTTCAAATTGTGTTTTCTTTTGGCCGTATGTATTTCTTCTGCTCCTTTTCTTTAGGCCTTCGACATGTTGTTATTCACTCCATGTTTCTTCCTCCTTACAGTATATTGCAAATATTGCCATCACCCATGCCTTTGGGCGAGCATGTCAACCCTTGTCATGCAAGACACACCATCTGAGGAAGCAGTTGCCAAGCGCAGGCTGTAGTAGTCATACCTCGAAAGGTGTGTTGCAAACATGACCAAATCTCTTACTAGGAGCAAGGACGCTACTAGGAGCTCCTGGCATCGCTACTAGGAGCACGGACACTACTAGGGGCTCCTGGCCTTACTACTAGGAACAAGAAGCTACTGGGAACAAAGGGCATGGCCAAATCTCTTATTTTATTATACATGTAGCTGATTCACAGTTCGGATAAATGATGCCAGGAGCTTCTTTATCAATATCATTGGACGTAAATGGAAACATGCTTGAATTTGATCTAAGGAGCATAAAGGTATGACACTCACAAGTCGAATGACTCAATCAGTGTCGCACGCAAACATTCATGCTGGCAAAAGGCTGCGCATCATGTGGCATTTTCGGTTTGTTGTGTATATCTGGAATTCTAGAATGACTATATACCCAACAGCAAGGAACATCCTATATATAAAAACTATTAGGAACAGTGATCGCAAAAATGATCATTAAAATCATGTTGCGACCAAAAAACGTGGTTCTTGCGACCAAACAAAAGCCTATAATCATGGACCCTCTCCTGACAAACGTTTCAATTAATGAAGCGCTACATACGTTTCGATGTTTAATTGAGGAACCACACAATTATGTCTCGCAAGGGTTTCAATGACATGAACTCACTCACAAAAAAAGAAACACAAACGAACAAACATATAAACAAAATACGTGTATAGGTCACATCTGCGTAGAAGAATCTGGCATGGATGAATTTCCCGGTCGCCGCAAATGTCCAAACACCTGTCTCCGTCATGTCTGCGTTGGATATAGCCTGGCAAGTGCGCTCAAGCGGAACGACGCGGGGTGTGCTCGGTGGGATGGAACTATAATGGATGAGCAGGTTGGAACGGTATATACCCTGAAGGGTGGATGGCAAGAAAGATCACCCAAGCCATAGGCATTCTATCCAACCAAACCAATTGCCTGGTTCCATGCAAGTGTTCTATATATATTGCCTCTGTATCCCGGAGCATTGAAGTGAGTGCGTGAAATCAATATCCGCTGTGGCTTTTGATAGACCAGTATCGACTTTTCAATGTTTTGGTTGAACGCTTCGTGCCATTGAAAGCTTCGTGCCATTCCATCGTATGGTTGGATACACAGGTGTGGTTCAAATCAGTTGTATGTACAGTATGTATATATAAATATATATAATTATATAATGCATTCGGGCTCCGGATTCGTGGTGTCTTCAGCCCTCTGCATCCCTCAGGTTTGGTTCCTATAGACCAATTGTCGTCAAACCTTATGAACCACACGTTGGAATGACTTTCACAGGGTACTGTAGTCTAGTAGATACATGCGAAACAGGATACCAACTTGTGACTTGTCTGTGAAGCTGCGAGCCAGCACAAGGCGGTGAAACCCCTGCAACATGACATGTCTGGGACTGACAGTGCAACTCCCAGGTCCGGTTTTGCTTAA